CATTTATTTAAGAATATTCTTAAATAAATGAATATTTATTTTAAAAAAATTTATTTTTGATTATATATTCAACAGTAGGATATTCAATGAAGTAAATTATTTATTGATAGATGAATCAAAATTAACTTCGTCGACCGGTGTAACTTCGATACGACATATATATGTATATAGCGGATGGGAAGAAAATTTTTCGAAAATGTGTGGAGACAGAGAGGCCGTTAATGAAGATGGCGCTGATCGGTAGCAATACACTATAGAGGTTAGTAGTGAAGTAGGAAGGCGATTCATCTTTGTTTCAAACAATGAACATCAATCAAAAAGAAATAATAGTTTCAAAAGAGCTGCGTGATAATAGTTTGTGCAGTTTAATTTCAATTTTTTAGATATATTATTAATCAACAATGACTTCATCATTACTCTGTCATCCTGATACTGTAATATCTCCTTCTTCTACTCTGGTTCCGATCCAAGCTTTGAGTAAAATTCCTCGTCTAAAACCCGCTCAATCCATATCTTCACCATCATCATTTTCTGCTACTGTTGCTCCTATTGCCGCCGCATCTACTAATGTAGTAGAAAATGGTCTTCCTGTTTTTGATCAAACCAATACCTTGCGTATTTACCAAGGCAAAAATATCGTTTTTTTTGGAGACAATAATATACGGAAGAACTATCGTGATCTATTACGGTTATTACATAAGGGTAAACTTATGAATGATGCTGAACTTAAAACAGGACATACATATCATCGACCATATGCCAGTAAGTGTTAATTATTTAATAGGACGGTTGTAGTATTGTTTCAGAGAGCTATATTCTATAGAACAGGTTGATTTTTAGATACATGTGTGATTAAAGATACTCCTTTATTTTTTTTTCTATTAATGTTAATTGAGTTCAAACATTTTTTAAAAGATGAAGTTCAAATTGAAACAAGTGGTATTCCCGGAATGTACAATCAAATTGATTGTCGTCGTTTTGTTTGTGAAGCTTCATCGACCGTAGTGTATTTTATTCATCTGGGAACTATTTTCAATACAAATTGTCCGTTAAATATTGAATGGTTGCAACAAATTACGCAGGGCGATCCCATTGATGTTCTAGTGGCATCGTGCGCTTATCCAGATTTATCCTTGTACGTATTGTATTGTTTGATTTTCAGCTTAATAAAAGTTTTTAATGCTTTTTAAATAGTCATCGATTAGAGATAATGAATTGGAATTTTCAAACCACTCTACAAAGATTCGAATCAGAATTGCCTATTGTTTTAACAAAATTAAAGTTTGCTTTTTCTCGTCGCGAGAACAATCAACCAATTCTGATATGGATATCACCTATTCCACATACGATTTCGAATGACATACAAAATCGTCAATTTGTTGAACTTACTGAGATCTGTTTGAATATAACCAATCAGCTCGAATTCAAACATTTAACACGTATGCATCCATGGTGCGATAATTATAAGAGTTTGTTTGTCAAAGATAAATGTCACTTTTCACCTACAGGTGAGTATATCGTATTTGGTGATTTTTTCAAGAGAATCTTATCTGATAATTGTTGGATGTTTAGGAATTCGTCATCTCACGAATCAAATAACTGAAATTATTTCAAACAAACAGCATCGTCAATCATATGTTGATCTTCTACAACCAATTAATGTACCCATTCTGATTTCTCAACCACCATTTCCAATCGTCGACTTAACCTTTCCTCATCTGACAGATTTGAAAATTAAACAGCGAAAAAAAGTTCGCAAACGTCGTCGCAAGAAACGTCTCAATCTCAGTGACAAACTAAAACCAACCTAAAAAACATCTGTTCTTTTTTTTTTGCTATTATTCTGTGCACTAAACTTATTTAATGTTCTTATAACGATATATTGATCATTCAGCTATTCATTTCTAAAAGTATGACCCTTTGATGTAAAAAGAATAAGTCACATTTGATAAAACTACGATCTGATTCATCCTGCAAATAAAGAATGTTTACTGGAAGAAATAGATGTTCTTGATTTTTTAT